ATTACATATACATTAACAATATCGTATTGAATCAATTTCCATTTCCAAACATTGCATTTCTTATAAATTATAACTTACACGAGATTAAATGGATTCGTTATTTAGTTTGTTACTTTATTTAGATTACTAACTCAAACAACTTAATAAGTTAAATGGACGAAATCACGAAATCATGACCATGATTTAATGAGTTGATACTTATAATACGATAAATCGATAATTAAGAATGTACAAGTATTCAATTAGATTGATCAACAAGTGTTTTAAACTTTTAAGTTTTAATGATCAGATATGTAAATAACTAAATATGTTTATCGATTATAGTACATACCAATAATTCAATGAGGCAATGATACTTATGATAGTATGATAATGATACCAACCGTACATTCGTACGATATGATATACATCATATACATAATAATATAATTACATATACATTAACAATATCGTATTGAATCAATTTCCATTTCCAAACATTGCATTTCTTATAAATTATAACTTACACGAGATTAAATGGATTCGTTATTTAGTTTGTTACTTTATTTAGATTACTAACTCAAACAACTTAATAAGTTAAATGGACGAAATCACGAAATCACTAATTAAAGTGGTGATGAAAGCATTATGCAATACTAATGTACGAATAGTCAAATATACAACGGTTAGATTGAATGCCCATGAAAAACAATGGTTAGATTTTCATTACTTTATTAGTTATTAGTATTATTACTTATTAAGTTATTATTAGTTTTATAGTTTATTATATATACTGATATACAATCACAGACTCACAGATGTCAGATATTGTCATATTGATGAGCATTAAGCCATTAACTCATTAAGTCATTAATTATGTCGTATTGAATCAATTTCAATTTTGAAACATTTGCGTTTCTTACAATTTATAACTTATAAGTAATAAACTAATAATAATAATAATAATAATAATAGTAATAATAATAATAATAATTATAATAATATTATAATAATAGTAGTAGTAAACTAGTAATAATAATAATATTAACAAATAATTATACTAACAATAATAATAATAATAATAATAATAATAAATAATTAAAAAAACGGTCAAAAAGACCTAGAAAAGCACAAAGAAAATCTAGACCGTTAGATCTAGATGAATATTCTAGAATCTACAAAAAAAAAAAAAAAAAAAAATGAACGGTTAGATCTAACTTAGATGTTGAGATTGAATATGGACGGTTAGATCAACTGAAGTAAAACCTAAACCTAGAAAAAAAACCCACTCTCACTCTCTCAGCCATTCTCATTCACTCATTCAGCCGTTTCTCTCTCAATCTCACAATCTGTCATAGTTTCTCTCTCTAACTTCTCAGTTTCTCACTCTTTCGTTCTGAAATTCTCAAGAATCTCAAGCTCAATTTCGTTTCATTTGTGTTTTGGATCTACATTTCTGATTTCTAGCTTTACATTCTCGTTTTTTTGTTAATTTTTGTTGTTTTCGTTTTGATTTTTTTCGTTTTTGTTCCGGTTTGTTTATTTAGGGTTTTTGTTTTCGTTTCATTTGTGTTTTGGATCTACATTTCTGATTTCTCGCTTTACATTCTCGTTTTTTTGTTAATTTTTGTTGTTTTCGTTTTGATTTTTTTCGTTTTTGTTTCGGTTTGTTTATTTAGGGTTTTTGTTTTCGTTTCATTTTTGTTTTGGATCTAAGTTCTGATTTCTGATTTCTGATTTCAAATCTTCCTCTCCTTCAAGCCGTCAAACCCTAAGGTAATTTTTTTGTTAATTTATTCGATTTTTTTCGTTTTCGTTTCGGTTTTTTTTTTTATTTCAAGTTCTGATAATCTACATTCTTGATTTTTTCTTTTGATCTCCAGTTCAGGTAGTTCTCCATCTTCAAATCTCCTTCAAGCCGTCAAAGGTAATTACTTTTTCCTTTTTGTTTTTTTTTTTAATACAGTTTTTCTGTTTTTGTATTTGATTATTGTTGTTGTTCTTGCTTGAATATAGTCGAAATATGCCTAAAATGAGTAAAATCTGTTGTTGATTGTATTTTTGTTTTTTACGGGAAAATGGTAGATTTGTGCTGTTTTGTTGTTTATTATGCTCGATTTAAAAGTAATGATGATGGGTTGTTCAGATTATGTGATTATTATTGTTGGAATACATGCATTGTTTATTTATTGGGATTTTAGCTTTATATTTTTAACCCATATTGTTGGAATACAAGCATTGTATATGATTGGCTTAAAGTTAGTACTTAAAATGTACACATATGTGACTGTATCGTATATAACTTTCTATATTCTGTTAGGATATATGTTGTAATCACGTTTGTTATATAATTCTGAATTTTGAAACATTGACTAGTGCAAATAAAATTCTGAAATATGAACTATCTATTTAGTTGAATTTTGGTATTGAGTGAATAGGATTCACTGTCGTGACTTCAGTGTCAGTCACATGAGACAATGCATGCTTAATTGCTCACTATTAGTAGAATCTGTCACTTAATTTGGTACTTATAAGTTATAAATGCTGTTTTTTTTTTTGTTTCAGTCATGTCTCGCGAGTATGATGAATTTGACTATGAGAGGCAATCAAATTTTGATACTGTTAGCTCTCAAGCTGCCTCTGTCTCGGTTGATGATGCTAGTAATAAAAAAATCTGTTGCAGTTGCGTGAGGTTGATGACGAATGTGATGATTCAACTAGTTGCCCTCTGGCTGATCTTGAGGCATATTTGAATGGACCACGTTCGCGATTAATTCAAGGGGAACATTTTGACGTTCTTAAGTATTGGGAATCTCAAGCTTCTTCTCTTCCTATTTTAGCTAATATGGCAAGGGATGTTTTGGCCATTCCTATTACATCGGTGGCCTCTGAATCTTCTTTTAGTTTGGGTGGTCGTATTTTGAACAAATATAGGGGTAAACTTTTGCCAAAGAATGTTGAGGCATTGGTTACCACCCAAAATTGGTGCCGTGGTTATCAAGCGGATGTTGAGGAAGACGTCCTCCTTATTGGTAAAGAGATTGAAGCCGAAAGTGCTTCATCTGCATAACTGGTATTTGTGTCTCATTGTGGTTTATTTTATCTTGAAAAATCGTTGCCCTTGTCATTTATTTTCAGACTTGCTGGCAGCATTTTTCTAGACTTTTAAAATCGTTGCCCTTGTCATTTATTTTCAGACTTGCTGGCAGCATTTCTTAAGTTTTTGTTAAAATAACCATTGCTCGGTGATGTAAATCTGAGAGCAATTTTAAAAAACAAAAGCTATAATTTTGAAGTTGCTTGAACTTGTTATGAGCTGCTGCCTGCTGGTAGTGCTTTTGCCTTTTGGTTGTTGTCTCTGCTGAGTTGTTATTGCCTATATTGTTGCCTGCATGAGCTGGTTCCTGCCTCCTGCCAGCTTGAGGTGCTGTGTTGCTGCCTTTTGTGTTATGAATTTATGATAAGTTTTGTTGCTGCTGTTTCTTATGCTTGCTGTTTTAATTTTTCTTGAATCATCGTTGCCCTTGTCATTTATGTTGAGACTTCAATGTATATGTACTTGCTGGCAGCATTTTTCAAGTTTTAAGTTAAAACAGCCATTGCTCAGTGATGATACGATAAACGTAAATCTGAGAGCAATTTTGAAAAACAAAAATAAGTTCCTGCTGAGTCCCTTCTGCTTATATTATTCCTTGCTTCGGATAAGTTGCTGATCTGTTATTGCGTGTGCTGGTTCCTGCTTGTTGCTGCTATTTCCTCTGCTCTTGGGTGCTGGGCTGCTGCTTCAAGATTCTGCTTCAAGATTCTGCTCCCAAATCACTCACATTCTCACTCCTCCCTTCATCTTATCATGTATCATTTTTTGCAACCCTAAACTTGATGATGTTTCAGTTGATAAATCTGAAATCTAATCTGGGTAGTAGTGATAGTAGTTTCATTATGTATTGGTATATGTATTGTGAATTTTAATCAATGAAAATGGTGACTTTTTTTAATTGCTTGTTGATATTACTCTAATTTTAATGTTATTTATCTCCAATCTTATGTTATCTTATTGGATGATCATGAATATCAAGGAACAATGAAGATAATTTGGGTGGACTTTATTACTGGAATGAAAAGATACAAATGATATATCTTGTAATTAAAATAAATAAGTAATCTAAAACGATATTAATAATGTCGTTGGCCTAGATCTAGGTGATATAAACCTTTGTATAAACCTAAGCCGTTTGATTAGATCTACATTTATTAACATTAATTATTTAATTGTATTTACTATTTAGCCATTTAGGTTGTAAATAATTCAATTTGAATTAAGCAGTTTGTAATTGGATAAGTTTAAACAGGTTGCGATTCGAAAACAGTTCGATTTTAACGGTTTAACGGGTTATGGCAGTTCTGTTTAGACGGTTAGCGGATTATAACGGTTCGGTTTATACGTGCGGTTTAAACGGTTTCGGTTCATAAACGGGTCGGTTTAAACGGTTAGCGGGTTACAAATGGTTCGGTTTAAACGGTTTTTTTTTCGGTTTAAACGGTTTCGGTTTATAAACGGTTCGGGTCATTAACGGGTTTATAAACCATTCGGTTCGGTTTCGTTTCGGTTCGGATTTGCGCAGTTTGGTTTGTTATCGGTTTACGGTCCGTAACGGGTTGACATTTAGCGGTTCAATTCGGTTTCGGTTTGATATTGAACGGTTCAGTTCGGTTTTCGGTTTACATTTATCGGTTTATAAACGGATCGGTCCGTGATGGTTCGGTTCGGTAACGGGCGGTTTCACGGTTCGGCTTGAAAAGTCCCACCCCTACACATATAGTAAGGGAATAAACTTAATGAAGTACCAAAACCCAAATAAAAAAATGATAAGCAACAAGAAAATCTCTTTAGTGACCAAATCAGATCTTGCTAGTGTGTTTAAAATATAATTAGTCAATTATTACTACAAATTATATTAATTAAATTTTAATAACCCTTTCCTTTACCCATTTAAATGATACCCTTTTTTAGACAGCTCTTGGTCCACCGTCCATAAAGTTTTTGTTATATTAAAAACTATACAATATACAAATATACAGTACATTATATTATACACCACCCTTCTTTTCTTTCTTCTTCTCTTCTTTCTCTTCAGTACAGTCCTTCTTTTACAGCATTTTTATGGTGCCCATGCTTCTTTCTCTTTGCAATTTGCATCATTTCTTAATCTCATAATCAATAATTAATAATCTAAACCCAATTAATTAATCAATTAATTACAATTTCTTTTTGCTTGTTAATTGGGATTTGCCACTTATTCAAAAAGATCTCTCAAATCGCCTAACCCTAACTACCAAATCTTCATCTTTTAATTATTATTTTCTTATTTACAGAACCAAATCTTCTTGAAATACAACTTTTTTGATCTTCTACTCCATGTTTCCATTTCAAAGTGGTGAGTTGTCTTTTCAAATTTCCAATGATTTAGAAAATAATAATAATAACAATAATATTATTACTAATACAAATTCTAATTTTCTCTTTGAGCAACAACATATCGCTGCAGTTGCAGCTGGTACTACTACTAATATTGACCTTGTTCATCAACCTCATTATGGTGTTGATTCAAAATTCAAGAGCCCGAAAACACGAAAACCGCGATCCGGGAAGTCTGTCCAGAATAATGCCAATGTTAATAAGAATAATATAGAGGATGAGATCAATGGAAATGATGTTACTAACAAGAAGGTTATTCATCGAGAAGTCGAAAGACAACGAAGGCAAGAAATGTCCAATCTTTATTCTTCCCTTCGCTCCCTCCTTCCCGTAGAGTATGTTAAGGTAAATTCTATGAATCTTTCTTTTTCTGTTTGAAAATAAAAAGGGATGTAAAGTCTAAATTACCTAGAATAGTAACAAAAAAAGTAACAATTTTGGGGTTTTTTTTTGTTAAGGATAATATAGTAATTTACTTTCGTACATTTGTTGTTGTTGAATACTATTATGCATTTGGCAATCGATCATGTACATGTTTTTTTTTGTTATGTTTTAGATTAATTTTGCAAAAGCTTGAAAAAAAAGTGTTGGATTTTTTTAGGTTGATGTATGTTGATTATCTAGTGATGGTGTTTTCAGGGAAAAAGATCGGTATCAGATCACATAACCGAGGCTACAAGGTACATCAAAGACTTGGAGATGAATGTAAAGGAGCTAGGAGAGAAAAGAGATAGTCTTAAAGACACATTTTCTTCATTAGAAAATCGACGAACTAAAAGAGAGCATAATGTTGGATGTTCATCATCAAGTAGCACTACCTCTACTACTTCAAGAAGTAGTAGTAGTAGTAATACTAGAGATTATAATGTGAACATTCATAAATTTTCTAAAACACTTCAGATTGAGATAACTGCCGGAGTTGAAGAGGATGATCCATGTCCTATTTCGAAAACACTCAAAGTGTTAGCTCAAGAAGGCCTTGATGTTGTTAGTTGTGTTTCTAATAAAGTAAATCAGAGGTGGATTTACGTGATTTATTGTGAGGTACATAATTATGATATTAATTATAGGTCTTAAATTAAACTTTGGAATCGTTTTCTTGCATTATCTCAATTTGATGAATAATGTATTGTCGTTGTTGTTGTAGGTTAATGAAGAAACACCAGTCGATTCGTGTCATTTGCGAGAGATATTGATGAGTTTAGTTGTTTCTTCAAGTAATGTATAAGAGTTGGCCCTTTCATATGCAGGTTTGTTCTTGATCTCTTTTTACCTTGCATAATCTTTCTTTGAATACACTAATTCAATTACTTTATTAGCAAGTGAGGAGAATGACCTATTTGATTAAAAACACATTTTGTATATGTTTAATGTTAGTAAGAAAAGATTACAAATAAAGGTTGGAAGAATATATATAATTTGGTTGTTGTAATATCAATAAATAATTGGGGTATCGCCGTTTAAGTTTATATATATGTGATTGGTAACATAGATTTACAATGTTACCAGGTTTCGCGAATTGAAGTGGTTTTTTACTTGCAAGACCTCAACTTCTTTTGTGCTAAGATTTTTGGCAATACTGATTTTGTCCCTTATTTGTATGCATGTGTGCTCTACTTGTGTAGACTTATATCTAACTTTCCCCTGCTTATTTATATAGAGTTTAAGTACTCATATATACAACAATAATAAATTCTCCGTTTTTCATATTGTTGTGAAAAAAGGTTGTGCATATCTTAACCTCTTATTACTCTGTTAAGCCTTAAGTTATTGATAAGCCATGTATTTATGGGCATTTTCGAGAGAACATTTGTACAGAAATGAAGAGATAGACTAGGATCACACCTTCATTGATTTAGCAAGATAGACCTTGACCTATGGAGGGATCCTTAGTTACCATATGCTAAAGATCAGATCTTTTTCTTGCATGGAATCTTAGCATCCTGTACTATGAGAAAATTCCACATCCACAAACATGTCATCTATTGTTGTATGTCTCGTTCTCAACACAAAAATAGTGGTTTGAGATATAGGATGACACACCATAATTAGCTACCGTTAAGAGTGAGCTTAATATGTCATTGTCAACACAAGGTCCATAGTTACAATAATTTTTGATGTTGATACCATATATAGTAACAATATCGAAAAAACAAAGGCTAGCTATCCTTAACTACATTGAAGAGTTGCAAGGAGTTTTGAGTGTGACAAACCCAAACAGTCCCCATAACAAGTGTAAAACTCAAATGGATGCAGAAGATACTCGTAGCTCCTAAAAAATTCAACAACGTGTTGGAAAGAGACTAAGGGTGGAGCATGATGTTACATGTACGATCCACATTATTGAGGTTTTATCTCAAAATCAATTGGTGGTGGGCGTGGAAATTAAAATAAGAAGATAGTCTTCCTTCAAGGATTGTTCTTACCTGGCATGTTATGACATTTTGATAGTAACCTATTAATGAGTTTATATACAATTATTACTTCTCTACATAATTTATGTTCAAAGTTCAATGACTTAGGTTAGGTATGGATGTCCTTCAAAATGAGATGAAACGTTTTTGTTGTAAAAATGTAATGTATATATATGTGTCCATGGGTTGGAAATAATATGATAGGTAGATAGCATGCATACTCCCCGGCCGGTTTATCTTAGAGCAACCGAGGAAGGCTGAAGTGGAATGGAATGATATAGATATATGGTATATAGTTTACAAAGAAAGAGTGCAGATTCATCTCCTATTTCAGTTTCCATGAATTATTATGATCAATATAATTGATTGAGATTCATATTTTTGCTGAATTAAGTGGCTGACTTTGTGATCAGAATGCCAAAACATTGGCCTAACATACAGAGGCTGCACGTACGTAGGACATATAAACACAACATCTACAATAATTGTACTGTATGAAAGTTAAGCATGTACGTTTGTTGCTCATTATTATTGAGTTTATCGAATGTCGAGCAGTACAAACACTTTTCTTAATAAGAGATACAATACTAGCAGTACAAAACTACAAACAAAATGATTAGATAAATCAAAATTTGCACTCAACTCGTATATCATCGATCATATTTCAACCTTCACGATCAACTAATTTAATGTAACACTCATCATTTGAAATATTGTCAAATGACTGTGTGCTGGAGTAGTAGTACACATCTTCTCAAGTGTCACCTTAACTGTTGCTTGAGGGTTGTCAAACAATTGATCTCTCCTAATAATTTAGCTTAGGTAGAAATCAATCAAACATCATTATTAGCTAATTGATTTTGATTAGTCAATTGGAACATGGTTAATTATTGTGCTTGACAGATTCTTAAGCAAAGACAAAATAAAAGAGATAGCTCTTTATTTTACTTGTACTTTGTAATTTAGTTTTATAAGGTAGATATTTTCGATTAAGTGTTTATTTACTTTTATTATTTATTACTTTGGATTGATCTGAGTTGTTACTTTCCAAAGTTATTTTGATTTTTCTCCCATCTTTCTTGTCCCTTATATATTCAATTCGATCCTTGAATGAAAGGGAAAAATAGACATTATTTTTTGTATTTTTTCTCCTATATTTATTTCATCTTGCATTTTAATTTCCATCTTACTTTTACTCTAGATCCATGTAATGTATGGAGAAAAACTTGTACATTATTACAAGAACTTTAGAAATCCACCTCACTGATAGATAAGCTGATCGATAAGGAAAATGGTGTAATTAAAAGAGAAAAACGAAAAAGAAAATCTTTTGTACTCTACCTCCGTTTTATATTTTTTTTGCAATTTTGGAATATTTTATATCTCATAAATAATACTCCAAAGTTGCAAAAAAAATGAAACGGAGGTAGCAGATATTTTTGTTTTACACCATGACTAGTAGCTGAGCATGGAGTGAGTCTTTAGTGTGTTGGATGACAAGCACAGCTATAAAGTGTTATTTTGTTGTAAATCAAGGATACATGCATCTTAATACAGTAGTATATAGTAAAAAACTAAGAATATACTTCGTATAAATGAGGGGGTCCATAATCAAAGCAATGATGTCTACACTCTATCTGGCTAGCTATAAACGTATAGCTAACTGCTTATATATAATGCATGAAAGTTGTATGACCCAGGTCATCAATGCTGTTAAGTGTTTGACAGGATTTCACTAACTAGAATTTCTGCACGTGATCCAAACAAGCAAGTGGATCAGATATTGATATCGCTTTCTTGATATTTCCGTGATTGTTTGGTGACATAGAAAGTACTCAATATGTTAAAAAAAATGAAAAAAAATTATATTATTCGATAAGAGTGAAATTGTTTGATCATTTGATTTAATGAAGTAAAATTTAGTACCTCAATTTAGATCTCGTAGTTTATTATAACATTATCAGATAAAAGTCTTATCAAGTACTATTAACGTGACAACTAATCCTATGAAATAACGAGTATAGTTTCCACATACTCTCAACATTTTCATACTATAATAAGTGGTGTTTGTTAGGGTAGTACCTATCATAATATCCACTGGCTCATGCATCTGCACTTACATTTACAAATAAGTCCTACCTGCATGAAATGTCATAAATCTGCATGGACTCCCTCCCCCTAAAATTGCTAGTTAAAGCTCTTTGATTTGTACTTTCCAATACTTTTTTTTTTTTTTTTTTTCAGATGTCATAAATCATGGCATATTTATTTTCTGAGTTTGATCCTTCTTACTCATTGAACTATCACCATTGATGAATAGGAGACCTAAATATATTATAGTGCTTTCTTTTAATTGCTATATTATATACTCCATACTTCGTATACTCCATATGACCGTATTATAAACTACTCATCTTACAAGTGGTAAACTTGGATATATATATAAAAGTACAACATACTTCTTTTTTGAAAGGATTGCATTACTATCCATGGAACAATTTAAGTTCTCATGGATGATTACAATATATACAAATTCATTAGGAGTACGTACAAAACCTTTATATTATTTAGTTATATCGAATAGACCTAAAAGTAGTACAGTGTATTAAACACGAAAACTTGCATAATGAGATGAGTTTTTTTTGGTTAATAGGAACTAATATATTAATGTAGATAGAAGTTTATGGCACAAGTATGCTCTAGTGTCAAATTACAAAAGACCACCTTCGTACTCAAGGTGGTTGGTGGGTGACTGGGCTAACACCCCCTTGCTGCATATATACTAGCCAAAGTAGTAGTTATAGTTGTACCAAACCTACAGTAAGAAATATTACAAGTCGAAGTAGAAGCCACATCTGGCTGCAAAATAGTGAGACTATATATATACGGTGAATTATTACTTATCTAGTTGTTATAATTCTTAACGTGTCATGCATATGTAATAAGTTACTCCCTCCATCCCTAAATTAGAAGCCTATTTCTCTTTATTATGTGAGTAATAAATATTAGAAATAGGCTTCTAATAAAGGGACGGAGGGAGTATTAATTAGTTTGAAATTTTCTAACCCAATACATGTAATTTAATTCCTTGAATTTAATGTCTTACTGTTTATATTTATACAGGTCCTTTGCATCAATAGTGCACTGCATTGTGTTGTTGGCCTTGGTGCTCTTTGCAGTTATGTATGACATGACTACTTGAAGGCGACAATAATCAGTCTACAAAAAAAATCAGCAACATTTTGGCAGATAGAATTAATGAATAAGGCCACTTCATTTTAATTATTTTTGGAAATATGTATAATTGTATGGATAGAGGAAATTTTCTTTAATTTATCAACTGTTTGACAGGCCTATTTTTCTCAAAGACGTTAAGGTAATAGTAATGGTAATTATCACTTTTTTTGGGACACATTTGTTGTCCAAGATTAAAAAGAAAATGAAGTTAGATATATTTCTCAAGTTCAATGATTTCAAATAAAGGAAGAAAGAGAAGATGATAAATTTGAAATTGATTGAGGTGCATGTATTATTGTTATCATATGATCAGGTTGGATTTAATTATTTGTAAATCGTGCAAGTATTATTGTAAAGTTGTATATCATGTCAGGTTGGTCATGTCACATTTCTTTAATTTGTATAAAAGATGACAAGGCCGGAATTATCATCTTATTCATCCCCAAAAAATGGGAAAATTTGGTAAAGTAATTATTTTAAAAATTTTCCTCTTGAATTTTGCACTTAGAGCATATGGCATAGAATAAGCATGCAGATTTGGGACATAGTTTCAAACTTTCGATCCATCATCTCCTATATGTCCAGCCAATTCAACCTTTTTTTATTTTTTTATTTTTTTTTGGACGAAACCAATTTAACTTTTTAAACATTGATGTAACAAAAAAAACTGATCTATTATGTTGTGTCTGGATTTAACGGTTCATTTAGGTTCACCTTACAACATTAATGTGAAAATTAAGTGCATAATGGAGAAGCTTTTAGTTACGTTGTTCATAATGCATAATGATTTATGGGGAACTTCTAATCTAAGGTTTGCGTGGTTTAGATAAAGAAAGAAAATACACTTGTAATTATTTTTTAATTGCCAATGCCCTGGCCTAGCTATAATTGATCCCTATAAGGAGAACCTTGAAGTTGTAATATATCTTTCGAAAAAATAAAATAAAAAAACCTTGAAGTTGTAGAACACAAACATTTTTACCTAGCCCAAATAATAATGTTTACAAATACTTGTAATACTATAAGCTATATAATAAGCTCAAAATTGACAAGAGAGTGATGAAATTAAAGTATTATTACTCTTTTATGTTTTTTAAGCTCAATACCAATTTCCATTGAAGGTATATTATAGTTTCTTCAAGATAATGTTCGGAGTTTGCAACATCATGTCACTACAACAATTCTATACATGCTACCATTAATCTATCGTGCAACATACTACGAGTACTTACATTGCTACATCACATTTAAAGAGTCATTAGGATATCAACCAATGTCTATTTTATTATATTGGACAAGTTAGTTTTTAGTATTGAGAGAAGACGTTTTGAACGGATGCCTTCATATATTCAAAAGTTAGACCCCGTAAAGAGAAAAAAAGGCCGACCAATTTCAGGCATCAATAGACAATAACCCAACATATTAGATATCTCACCTAATTCAATAATCAACAATTAAACAGAGTAGCATTCCCACCAAATACAAAATATTTCCACTTAACATGTGTGCTGTGTGAGTGTGACTACAGTGAATATCTTTTGACTGAATATTCCTTGCTTTGCTAAGGTCAACTTCTCTCCTAATCACCCCCAAAAGCCCTATTTAATGGCTTATTCAATTAAAATTAATTTCATTTTTTATACTTGCAAGTAATTTTTATACTCTTTTCCTTAATTATTTTTTATTCTATCACATGATTTAAGATCTCTAGCATGAGTGCATGACCAACAAAAATCTCTACAGGTCATCAAACTTGCATCCATTTTCCATTTTTTGGAATTTTAGTATTTACCAAATGTGGCATTTTTTCTATTACTGACTATATATAGAATTATCATCACGATTTAAAATAATTGTGAGCCGATAATTATTGTGACTTATTCTCTTTTGAAATGTTCGAAATAAAAAAAATGACATATTGTAAGGAAATGGATAATGGTACAATACAGATTAATATTGCAATAGCCCTTCATAATGATGTACTTTTGAATCCATCTTAACATTGAGAACTTTTTTTAGAGTGATATGATAATCTTATTGTTATTTTCACAAGGCATATGCAAATACGCCCGAAGATCATGAATGATATAAACAACGTACTCCAGAAATTTAGTTGTTTACAGTTAAATCATAGCACGTTTATAAAGAGTCAAAATAGAGTTCAGACTATATCGTCGTACGAGGACGTACTCTTAACAAACATGCACCTTTCATGAAACATATTTATTCTTAGACATCAATCTTGAGACTAAAAAAGGATTTGAATATATTGTATATGTCCGAAAATAAATGATAGCAAAGAAAAGTAGTACTCCATAATTAATTCGTATTTAGAAATTACAAAATGGGTTTAGCATGTAAGAGACCCGGCCTACCAATTAACCTACTCCCAAACTTCGTTGATCATTTGATCATCCTGGCTCTACCAAAGATTGTTGACAAACTATAATCATCGTGTTATAGATTCTATTAATCAAGATATACATATTAATGATAGATTTAGATCAAATGTCCCAAGATTAATAAATAAAATAGATTTTTATTGATTAGCTCCCATTAGTTAAAGGGTCCTAACACTAGGACATGGACATCGACCTTATCAACTTACCTACTATATGTTGATAATATCAATCCTCTTATACTAATTGTATTTTGTACTGTAGTAGTATTCTGATTTAGAAGACAATAACCTAATTTTGAATTATTGTTGATGTCGCTAAACATCAACTATCTTAGATGACCATCAACAATTTAAAGTAATGCTTAGAGCTGGATGATTACTGAAATTTGTGTATTTAGATCCTTGAATAATAATTCTTAACCATCGTCTATTTTGTGCTGAACTGCAATAATCGTGATTTATGTCCGCATGTCTCAATGACATATTTGCTTACACGATGTACTAGCTTCAGAAAATTTTTCATATTACTTAAAACTTACATTAGTTTTCTTGGTTTAATTTTATACGACCTAAAAATTTCATTAGAAATTGTCAATTAATCAAGGTAATTAAGTAACATTATTACCCTACTTAAAAGTTAATAAATCATCTTTATCTCTTTATGTCACATATTTATTATATTTAAAACTAATATTGTTATAGAGTAATAAACTACTCTTCGTAATAAATAAATATGGAGTATAATATAAGTGTGTCCAAGCCTCCAAGGGGGTCATGGTCAACAAATGCTAAGTGTTCGTGATTAAATAAAGTGGGGGCCACCTACATCATGTTATTCGCTGGAAGATTATCCCGTTTGATACACTGTTCATTTTGCTGCGACCCTTTTGATTTTCCACTCAGGATAATTACGGACTACAGACCAATTATTTGTCTGAATAATATAATACTCGCAGTCGTTTTCCGTACGTGTTGTTGCTTTGTGGTCTTGTCGATTTATTTTGATATATTAAGTTCCACTACAAATTAATATTCCGCACGTTTTGGGTTTGAGTCTTTTTAAGAGTTGGGTGTACATGAATATTACTCATATTAGTCGTATATGACAGATTGAAAAGTAACATTTTTTTTTATTGATAAATTGACGGTATTTGCAAATCACAAAATTTTATATGTGGCTAATCACATGCCGTGACTACTTTACATATAAGCAATTAATTAAATAATAGGGATTACGATGATGATCAAATAAGGTTACTTTAACGAATAAGGGTTACCACAATAGAAAGTTGGAGTTACTATTAATCAAATGTATTTTTTTTTTCCAATATTAAAAAAAGGATTACTAAAATGAAGTATCAATATCTTTAAGATAACTTTAAAGCTATCCCTATCTAACACCATTTTTGAACATTTGACATCGTTTTGACTTTAATCATATAATTATCATTATCTTTAAGATAAATCTAATAAAATCTTTCTTAATAACGAGTAATATATTATGGAACGAAAGTAGTATTACTAAAGTGTGGTTTTGGTTGTTGCCAAAAAAAAAGTGTGGTTTTGTTTATTTTGTTTGACAATACTTTGTACAAGTATAAAAATTACTGTACATAAAAGGACTTGTTTATTCTTGTAAACTGATAAGAATCGGGCTCTCACTAAGGTGGTCGGCCCATAAATTATTAGCCCATTAATCTCTCTAGGCATTATTGCACTTTACAAATATAATTTTATTTATCAACCCAATGAGTGAAATCAAATCATTTTAATTTTGATGTTTTGGGTTCAGAATAAGGTTATTCATAATCCAAATTGGTTGTTTGGGTTGTACAATGTATTAAATTTAACCTATTTCACCTATACTATGTAAATTACTTATTATAAAGTTACTAATTACAGACTACTTCGTATTAAAATTTAAACAATTCTAATTTAATAGAAAATGACAACAAAGCATCATTTTAACAATTTTTCATTTTTTTAACAAGATAAATGGAGAAATTCAAAGACATCAAGATTGATACATACAACATCACGAACTTTCCTCTTTTTTTTTTTTTTTTTTTTTTTTTTTTTTTTTTTTTTTTTTTTTTTTTGAATTTTATAAAATCTATAAATAATCTACTTTAAACTATATTTAGACTTAGTATGACCTCGCACTATCTATATGACTGATTGACTGTATGAGACATTCAAATTCAATATTTAAAAAACACGAAATTATGTTGAAAGATTTGTCTATATATTGTAGAAAGTATTAATAGAATTATTAAATATAAATGTTTTAATTTAAGTAAAAAAAAAATTGAATGTTTAGTAGTATTAGCATATGAGATATGACGGATGTAGGTGTTATTGTTATTGAGGTAAATGTCGTTCTTTATAGTCTTCTTTTGAGATGACGTTTGAGATGACGGTCTTGTAAACATTAGATAGTGGGTTCTTACCTTTGTAAGGCCTTTTCTTGTCGAGATGATGAGGGCAGTTGCAATAGCTTTGGAGGTGGCTGAAAAGGTAGGGGTATTAGTGTAGTCCAACGTCTAATGCTTTAGATGACCAGCTGCTCTTTTGGCATGACAGAATGACGATTCTTATGGGCTGTTTGCGTTCTTTCATTTGGTTGAAAAGAAATTTGGTTTAAGAGCATGTTTGGTAAGAGTGTTTATATATTGGGCTGGAAACGGATTTAACCAAACCATTATCGTTATCTAGTATTTGGTTATAAGGTTTATGTAACGATTGTCATTATCTAGGGGTAATGGTTTCCACCTAATTGTTATTTCTCTTAAACCTAAGGTAACAATTGCCCTTACCCTCCTCAATTAAAAAAGAGAGAAAGTTATGTTTAAGTAATTCCTTTTCATGGTTAAACCGACCATATGAAAAAGTAAGGGTAAAATGATTCCTTTCCCCTCTTTTATTTTTTTCCTCCACTTTATTTTCAATATTTATACCAAACACCCCCTAAATTCAAAGTGTTATGCCGATTAAGTAATACAGTAACAGACTAGCTAGTCATTAGAGCTTCTAAAGGTGTGGAAAAAACCACCGAACTATATTAGAGTGCACGAAAATGTAGCAAGACTAACTGTGCCAAGTATTTTTAATTTTTTTTGTAGTAGAACGTCATTAGAGGTGTGGAAAAAAATGACCGAACATAATTACGTGAAATGTAACAGTTTTATTTCTAGTTATTGAGGTGCTATTATGTTTAACAGTAGCCGCCCCTTGTTTGAAGCTAAGAAACGAAAAATTAAATTTTGTTTGGAAAATTGAAATACCTTAAATTCGATCCAATATGTAAAGTACTTTTAAAATCTTAAAATCAAATTAAGACCAATCCAATTCGATTCAAAAATAAATATAGTAAAAACATTCAAAGTTTTAATTCAGTTTGGATTGAACGATATGTTTTTATCATATGACTACCACTATATTTAAATTTCATTGGCTGACTTCTGATTTATTTATTTGATAAAAGCTACATATACCCTCCCTAAAAAGAGTTACCTAGCAATACATTCCTTATCAAAAAACACATATAACATATAATGCAATTTTTTAATAAATATTAGTACGTACATCATTAACATTAATCAACACCTATTATTGGATCAACTCAACATAAAATAATTAATCTAGTAGATTTTATGTATCCTAAACAAAGTCATGGTCTTGATTGAGTAGACTACACTATTACTTAGTTGGTGTGTCTACACCCAATACTATAATACGTGCTTAGGATAATTAATTAGATACTGTATATCTTTCCTTAATCATCATGATCTTCCTATATCTTTCCTTGATCATAATACATCATCAAATCATATCATCAGATCAAGCAGCTATTATTAAAAGCGAGTTCATTATAAGAGTGTACGACAACTTTAGGGTAGTCCCACAAAGATTTTTATTCCATCAAATTATGGATTACCCTTAGATTAATTAATGCCCTTTTATTTTATTTTATTATGTTTTCTTGTCTTAAAATAAAAAATAAAAAATAAAAAAAACTCTTTTAGAAAGAATTATTAATCTCACCCTTTTTTCTCCCTAATTTCTTCTAGTTAGTGTGAAATGATCTTGATTTGATCCGTTTTAATTTCTCTCTCCTAAGTTAAGAAAAAAAAAAACATGTTCCCTTTCCAACGAAGTTGTGAGCTGTCGTTCAAAATTAGTGATGAGGGGGACCAAATTGAAGAAGAAGATCAGATTATGTTGAATGATAATAATGTTTCGGTTGGCCTCAATTATACAACTAGTACTAATCCTGGCCGAGGCCGAGGTAGAGGTGGTCGAGGTCGTAGATCATCATCATTATTAGCTAGTAGTAGTAATAATACTAATACTGCTAATAATGATGATGATGAAAGAAAGGTTATGCATAGAGAATATGAACGTCAAAGGAGGCAAGAAATGGCTGATCTTTATAATTCCCTTCGTTTAACCCTTCCTTCTGAATCTACTCAGGTTAATTTAATTTCTTAGGTTACTTTAATTTTTGATTTAATTTACATTTATATATCTTGGTGTTCTTTTATCTTTTTATTGGTATGTTTAATTTAATTTGATGGGTATATATTATTTTTGATTTAGTATATAGTTTTTATTAGGGTTTTTGTTTAGGGTTCTATGGCTTTAATTAGAGATATTTGAGTTAATTAATTAGGTTTAATTTGAAGGTTGTTACTAATGATGGAAATTTCAGGGAAAGAAATCAACAAGTGACCATATAGGGGAAGCTGTGAATTACATACAACACTTGAAAAAGAATGTAAAGGAGCTTGAAGAGAGAAGAGATCAGCTTAAACAATCAGTAGATCAACAAGAATCGACGAGTTCAACTTCTGAATTAGGTGGATCCAGCAACTCATCTGTAACAATTAGACAATCTGTAGTTGGTTTTGAAATAGAAATTAGAGTTGGATGTGAAGATGAAGACCGATTTTCGCTGTCAAGTGCTATACAAGTTATTTTTGATGAAGGACTTGAAGTTGTGAGTTGCACTTCAACCAAATTCAATGATAGACTAATTCACCATTTGCAATGTCAGGTAAATGTACAATTTTTTTTTTAAAACTAGTTTATATGTGGAGCTTAATTATTACTATATATCTTGAAGCTAAGTTGGTTAAAATTTTCGATCTCCCTACACCTTATGGTGTCCATTTGACACTCGAGTGTAATTCAGATCATAGAGCACACGAGAAAGAAAATGTGAAGGGGTGTAAAATTACATACATTTGGGTGTTATGTAGGATGCAAATTATATTCCCAACATCTAGGATCACAAGATTCTATCTGGTTTGATGTCATTGTCGTTGTTGCTATCATGAAAACATGGTAAAATTAACAGAGATACTACAAAACCAATACATGGATAATATAAATTTCTTGTAGAGTTTTTATCCTTAAAATTAGGCTCTTCGTGCAAGAAGATTCCTCAAAACATCTTTAAAATTATAGCCGCCTTTTTCTAATGGTAATGATTCTACCATCCATTTGGTAGGTGGTAAAAATTGGTGGTAATAATTTGTGTTCATTTTGCAAGAAAAGTTCGTTGCCAAGTTGAATTGTATCACATTAATGCATCTATAGCTTTCTAAGACACTTATTTTTGATAAAATTCTATTAGCCTTTTTATATGTATGTGGTATTGAGGGACATAATGGATATATCTGAAGAAAATCATATATTTGTAGATGTTATACTTCGAATACAGCTTCATTATTGTCTACCAAACCTGTGCTATTTAGCTAATGGTACGAACTACTCGTAGAGTTGTAGCTAGGATCATGCAAGTATATGTAGAGCCTTGAGTCAATAAGCATGCATATTACTACTCTGTGTCCTCCTCAAGTGTAAATTTGTTATGTTATTTGATTCAGCAAAGTTTACCATGCATTCACATGTTGTTAGACCCTATTTATTTTCTATATTAAGGTTTAAGCAGTTTAATTTATTGTGGAAGAGGTTTCATGCTACTTGGTTCAACCAATTCAACGAACAAGCTAGAGCATAAATCTACATCAGAATAACTTATATAATTACATCCTACTCCCTAGCCTATTAAGGCCGTGAGTCTTTCTCTTTAACGATATTGGGGAAATGTTTATGTTGATAGTAATGTTGGTTGTCAATGTTTTACGCGAGTTTTGAGAATTTGGTAAATCGAAAGCTATTTTTTCTCTTATCAACAAGTATTTCTACAATACATTCCTTTGATGATAATTAGTTTGATAAACAATTTGTTTATGATGCAGGTAGGAAACACAGCATGCATTGATGTGAATCAACTACAACAGAAATTAAATAACCTCGTTTGCTGATTATATACACTATCATTATACATAGCTTGTTATGGTCTGTGACTTGATCCAATTCTAGGTTTTTGTTTTCAAAATGGAGGGAGCGTCGTGTATGAAACAAGTTATATGAGTTTAGAAGTATGTTCATTTGATAGTTCATCATTTAGTATTTTGGCAATCAATTCGTATTGCTAGTGCAGGAAGGGTGTATGTATGAAACAAGTTACGAGTGTAGATGAACAATCATTTGGTTGTTCTTTTATTATTTAGGCAATCAATCGAATATTGCTAGAGCAGTGAGGTTCTATGAAACAAGTGTAGTTGTATTCTTGTATATTATAATTTTGTGAGAGATATTTGTTTAATCTTGAAGAGAAGTAAAATATATATTAGCGAGCAAATTATGATATATTATGCTTGTAAAACTTGTATTTTCTAAGATTGTACTGATTTATGTGCATGCAGCTAGCTATCAATGTAACAAAGCTTTGATTAGTTTCATAGATTATGTTCCAACTACAATTCTACATACGATACTATCATCAAAATCATCTATGTGCAGAAAAGATACTTAAATGAATTTGATGTAACATTTCAAGAGATTTTCATCAATGTTGGGAAAAATTGGCCCTATACTATATGAATTTCATTATTTTTAACCTCATACTTTATAGAAAAAAACATAACGTTGTTGTGATTAGGATGTTTGCTTGATACTTTCAACATTTTAATGATAATGATTTATTTTCTAGCATGTACCCATGTTGGGTTAATTCAACAATCACATGATCATATCAGTTGTCATAAGGACGTACTCATGCAACGGCCTTATTCAAGTGCTAGATGTAGAACATTTAACAGCTTCTTTGACCACAAAACAATCAAAATATGTGGTTTATTTAACGATAAAAGGAATAAGATTTGAAACATTAAATATAACAATAAAAATATAATTGTTCCTTAAAAAGTTAGATGTGATTAGATGTCTAAAACTTACGCCTCTATATATATATCAAAAGGAATAAGAAAAATTTCATAAGTGTGGGCCAATTAATGTTTGGGTCATGGTCAGTAAAGCTTACTACTATGTAATAAAAAGATGCTAAAACTATTAGCAAAGTGCACTCTAATAGTCTTTTGGCATATCCCTCATTAGTCATTATACTGCACTGCATAATTTGCTGCCTGCCGCCCTGTCGACTTTCTTGACATTTGACATGGAAAATGTTGTGTAGCAATTAAGTACTAGGGACAATCAAGTAGTTAGATGCATATAATTATATAAAAATATATTGTTATTATTGCTATATTTGAACTTTTTATTAGAATATTATTATATTTTAGATGTTACATTTGTATACATGTGTTTTTAATCTTGCAAATCTTGCAATATTTGTGCACGATTGCATGATTGATAAGATGGTTGGCTACCTACTAAGATCAATTCCATTTGTCACATTACTCACATATTTATAATATCATTAGTCATTACATTCACCTTCTATTGAATTATTGGTTGGTTAATCATGTTTTGTGAGTGTGGTACTTAAAAGACGGAATCAAATCTAGATCCTTCTACATCCTTTCTTTTCTCCCCCTATAATGTACTAAGTATATATATATATAACATTTTCATTGAATTTTAGTCAAACTTCTTTATCCTACTTCCGGCTACTTGAATGTCGAAGATGGAGAAAAAAAAAAATTATAGTCCCGATACTTCCCAAAAACACGTCCTTCACACTAAGAAATCTTAAGATTCGTAATTTTAAAAATATATATTGATGATATATACGACTATACATTCATCCGTTTGTTTAAAAATAAAAGACACATTATAATCACGGGTGCTAACATAAAGATTGGTTTATTTTCTCTAATCAAAATCTATATCCATTTCAGCACAACTTAACATCTTTTAAGTCCAACCATTTGCATCACTACATAGTTACATCCTTTTCATTGCTTTCTTTTCTTTCAATTCTTATTTTATTTATATATCAAGAATCACTTACATTGTAGAATGTAGACAAGCAACTCAATCAAACGGTTTATATTAACTTTAATTTTCTAGTTAATCAAACAATAATATTTATTACTTGTCAAGATTTAATAAACTTTATTTAAACATCATGAATCATATTCAAACCTCGATTACATGCATCAATAACCCTTTTTAAAAGTCTGCCCTCGAGATTGACACAAATTAAAAATATAATCATCTACTTTGTTGAAATGATTTATCATGAGCTTGCTTCAATTGCTAATTCATTAAACTGTTCATTAATCGGCGAGAAACCAAATCATTAAAAGAGGTGCCGCCCATTTATCAAGCCGATTTAGGTTAAGGAGGTTTTAAAGACATGTGTTAATTAGGAGTACGGTGTGATTGTTTCAGTCAAAAGTATACGATGTGACATTAATGTCAAAGTTATTATATTTCGACTTTGATTAATTTTTAAATTTGACACAGATTACTTGTACACAATCACATGACATAGATGAAGAAGTGATTATTACGTCCGGGCTCTAACCCCTATTTTTTGCTCCATTTGACTTTTTACGGTATCTAAGACGCGTTTTCAAATATATATATATATATATATATATATATATATATCTCCAGCTATACGCATAAATATTATTAAAAACTTGATATTATTAAATTATACAATGAGATGATTCCAACAAGATCTCGTATGAATATATTATCACTTCATCTCAACAAGAATTTATGGTCACTTCATCTCAACGAGAATTTATGGTCAAAACTTTAAAAGTTTGAATATACGATGAGACATAAATTAAGGGTCCGAGGGAGTACTTCAAGTGTCCTAAAATAGTGTTTAGTCCAATCTCACTACATTATTACTTCTCTCTTTCATTGGATTTTGTCTTTTTTTTTTATTTTTTTTTTTTTTTATTTTTTACTCAAAAAGATAATTTTTAAAATACATAATTGAAGATATTATTAGTGATCATGAAGAGGGAAAAGATAAAGTGTAACCATTATATGAACACAGATGAATTATTTAAAGACATATTGCAAAATTATAAGTTGTTCGATGATTATTAATCCTAGTTATTTCAAATGCTTTGTACTGCATTAAAACTGATAGTTTCTACGGAGTAGTTTTTTTTTTTTTTTGGTATTTAAAGAGCCATAAGGGCGGGGTGAAAATCGATCCTAGTATCTCTTGGAATCGGGAAAAAAGCTCTAACCAGTTGAGCTATACCTCACTCTCTACGGAGTAGTTTATTGTAAACTCTTAGAACTACATCTATTATTTTCCATAATCATGGTAATTGATCACTCCCTCATCATCAAATCATAGAAGGGACAGAAAATATTCTAGTTCATAGCATATGTACAAAATCATGGAGCCCACAAAAAGGATGCGCGCAGCTTCATGTGTACTCCCTACAAATTCGTTATAGGGTTTCAGGGATACGACCTTAATAATGCAACCGTTGTATATTTTATGTGGTGCGACAAATAGGAATCTATCATAAGTAGCATGGCCTTTCTTCTTACATTTATTCTATAAATAAGTGAAGATATGTTAGATATCACAAGGTCTCCCTACAATAATACAAAACACAATCTTCTTGCCTTTTCCTTCAAACCTCCCCTGAAAAAATATATAGACAATATAGTATAATAAAGTTGCTGAGTTTTCTCTCAATTATTTTCACTCAAAAAAAAAAAACATAGAAATGTTTCCTTTCCAAAGATCTGGTGAGCTTTCCTTCCAAACCACTGAATTTGTTGCGGAGGAAGAACAAATAGATGCGGAGAATCAGATTTATTGGTTGGATGGTGCACCGTTAAACATAGAAGGAAATATGAACACAGCAAATGTCAGCCTTGGCCCTAGTAATAATAGAGGAAGAAGTCGAGGTCGAGGTCGGGGCCGAGGTCGAGTATCCTCTAACAATACTAGTAATTATAATGATAATGATGATGAGCAGAAGAAGGCTATTCACAAAGAAGTTGAGCGACAAAGAAGATTGGAAATGTCTAACCTTTATTCTTCACTCCGTTCTACCCTTCCTCCGGAATATGTTAAGGTATTTATCATTTTAATTCATTAATTGATTATTTCTTAAGAAACTAATTAAGCAATCAATTTATATTCAATAAATTAGGTTTTTAGTTTCTATTTTGAAGTAAAAATATTGATTCAAATAAATGATGTTTGTTTAGCTTCAGCATAAATGTTGAATTAGGGTTTTTGCCTTTTTTGTCATTTAGGGTTTGTCGAACTTTACTAAAATCATTTCCCCCAAAATCTACTTTATTTTTTTGACTTTAATTACTAGTTACAAAAATAAACACATACTTGTATATAGAATTAAAAAGGGGGGCTAATAATACAGGGTAGTTTTAGAAGAATTGTACATTAAATGTAATCTGACAATATATGGTCATTAGTTTACTCAACATTTGTTTAATATGGATCGAAATTAAAAGTAGAGAATAAACAAATTATTTGGTTGATAAAATGTGTTCTACTTCACACAAAATTGGGAAGTTAGCCAGTTAGCGCGACTAGGCCTAAATGAAGCTCAACTTTCACTAGTGAATCAAAAAATTTCTTTACTTCAAGAAAGTCGAATTGAAATCATAGCGTAAATTCTTAGAGAGTTATGATATCTACGGAGTAATTTATACTACTTGTATGAAATTTAATTTCAGGGAAAGAGGTCTACAAGTGATCACTTAGCTGAAGCAGTGAATTACATCAAAGACTTGGAAAAGAACATACAAGAGCTTTCTGATAAGAGAGATCAGCTAAAAGCCGCCCCGGAAAGTCCTACTTCAACGTATCAAGTGGGCAGTTCGAGTAATCCAAGACCATCCCTTGGAAGTGTAGAGATAAATCCATGCCTAGGCGGACTCGATATAGACATCAATGCAGGCTATGAAGACGAAAGTTTTACTCTATCAAGTGCTCTCCAAGTGATTTTTGAGGAAGGGCTTAGTGTTACTAGCTGCTCATCAACCAAAGTTAACCAAAGAATAATTCATAAGATAGTATGCGAGGTAAAATGCAATGTTTTTTTTTCAAGTTTCTAGGGCTATTTATTGAAGGAGCTCATGATAATTATATGATTTTGCTTCAATTGACTTTTTAAAGTTCTTGTGTATAATAGAGGATTCTCTCAAATTACTTGATCATCGAAAAGTTGTCTCCAAAATTTCCTACTTTCCAAGTAAATAGACCATTTAGTTAGTAGATAGAATTTTGATCCCTAGTCTAAGGCAAACTATATCAGCAGTAAATAATAAGAGTATATATATCATATACTCCGTAATAACATTTGCAAGATGTTACTCAATGATGTCCTGGCCTAGTTCTTAAAATTGAGGGCATGTGTATGACATGTTACAAGTTCAATTCCCCTCATACCCAGTTGTAACTTGTACTGCCCTTGTGACTCATTCGCACCAAAATAAATATTTGCGAGATGTTATGCCATGCATGTATGGTAATTATATATCCATGATGACTAAAATTTTTTTTGCAATATTGCAGGTGACTGACGTAACATGCATAGATTTCCAGCGGCTTCACCAGAGATTGATCAATCTAGTTTTTTGATCAAATAATCGGTCTTACCTTGCATTTTCGTGTGTTGCTTCACCCTCATCCAGGTTTTGCATTCTTTATTTCACCACTTGATCTTTTTGATGTTACACTGCCTGAATTCTCACTGGAGAGAACTTCTAGTCAGTACTTAAACTAGTGTGTGATCTTATACATATTGATATAATGATATGTTTAGGAGAAATGTATTAATCCTTGGAGCCATTGGAGGTGGATAAAAAGTCCGATATAGGTGAACAAAAAATGTAGTGGTTGTGGTAGTTTTTTGAATGGATACATATGGCTGTATTTTGTATCTCATTTAACTACGGGAATTTATGTTTATGGCGGTACTTTGGATAATCATGGTGTTATGCACTTGTACCTTGTATGTATTGGTGTTTGTAAATGTATGTAATATTAGATGGGAGGTAAAATGTATGGTACTAGCTCTTGGAGAGTTATCTACCATTGCTAGCTTGTATATCTATTATCTAGTAGTGCAGCTTGTGCCATATGCTGTTTGAGCTTGCTTAGGGATTCGTCTATTAATTAGTTGGTTGTAATTTTGATGTATTATTTTTAGGTTAATTGAATCATAATGTTTATCCAACAATAATTCATATATATATGTAACATCGATCATAGTATGTGATAGAGTATAAAACATATTTCTGGGCCTCAACTATCAGCTTAAGTTTTTGGTTGAGTTGGTCTTTTAACATGATATCAGAGCCAGCGTGACACAAAGGTCACGAGTTCGAATCTCATCTACACTTTCAAGTGGAATATTAAGCGCAGGGTATGAGGAGGGCCCATGTTGCATCCACAATTCAAGCCCAAAGAGTTTTTGTGTGAGGAGGTGTGTGATAGAGTATAAAACATATTCCAGGACCTCAACCATCAGCTTAAGCTTTTGGTTGAGTTGGTCCTTTAACAGTATGTTATGTAGTACGAGTACAAGTTAGCTGATACTTCATCTATATCTAAAACTTCAACCTTCAATGCTAGTGCTTGATGTATCATTTACATTGCTCCTGAGTGCATGCATTATTTTATACCATGCATATACTTTATACGAGTATATAACTATATAATATAAAGTATAAAATGTAGTACAAATGTATAATATAAATGTATGTGCCATTTTTCTTGATTATTACAATATTTGTCTGATTCTTGCTATATTTTTGCGCCAATATTATCTTGAAAGATTGCCAGAATTTCTGCCATCATCATTCTAACTTTTATATACGTAGTACATAAGTATTCTATTAACTTTTCCCTTCATGATTATATAGTACAAAATATATGATTAACCATAATCCATATGTTCAAGTTCAAAGAACATGATAAGCATACAATCATGTTCTGATTTTGCTGATTAATATAGATGCCTTTATATCTTACTTTTAGACTAATTAATTACGAAGAGTAATTGGTTTTTAAGGTAATGTTGCTGCTGAACCATGCATAAAAGAGTTGTCACAAAACAATGTACCCTTAGTTTTTTTTTATTCTATGACCCTATGATTAATCATTGATTAATTCCATTGGATGTCCTTAATATTCGTTTATAAATGTGTGTAGCTAACAAATCATTGGCTACGATATCGATCCTCGTCATGAATCAAATATAAAATCATAAACACAAATATGAAACACCGTTTATAATTAACAAATTTGCAACCAAGGGAAGATCAAAGAAGATTTTTTTTCCAGAAAATAGGATGACAAAATCTTTATAATGGTTTAGTTGGGTATCTTTAAAGATTTTAATACCTCATTTGATGCTTTTTTAGTTGTAATGATTATTGGAAGATGTGTTATTTTAAGTGAAATATGATGATTGAAAGATAGAAATTTCGATTTTTCTTCTCAATATACTATTTTAAAATTATTTATACATCTATGCCTCAAAAAAAAAAAATTTATACATCTATCATGGATGGTGTATGCAATAAAATTAGATTTCGACATGTATTTTAATACGGCTATTATGGATTGTGAATGCAATAAAATTAGCTTTTGACACGTATTTTACAGCTACTAGGAAATTCTTTACAGAAGTATCTAATTGGTTGCTAAATAAATCATTTATATGGGTAAATAAAATAATTATGTATTATTACACATGATATGACTGATTGTGTACGTACTAGCTCAAAATGACTACCATTATACTAATTTTTATGGGCTGATTTTGAATATTTTGTTTTTTTTTTATGTCAAAATTAATTATAAATCATTTATTAATTTTTAAAATCATTTATAATTTTTTTTAATTTTCATAATTAATTTACGAAAATTTGCTTTTATTAATACTGAAATTAAAAAATAATCATAAATTAATTATGAAAACATTAAAAAATATAAAAATAAATAAATAATAAATTATAAAAATAAGAAAAAACATTTATAATTAATTTTGATATAAAAAATAAATAAAAAAATCATTCAATAAAATATTAATATAATGGTAGTCATTTTAAGGATGCCATAAAATTTTCATTGGTGTTTAACAAGGTAGTCGAACAAGTTACATGGTGAACCCTTATTATCAACTCCATAAGACAAAAATGTTGTAACATTTCCAAAGTATGGGTGCAATTCAGTGAATAAAACTCCTAAAGAGTAAAGGCTATGTACTTGACACAACTAAGCCCACTATAGTCAAGCTGATTATACACAATTCAAGCCTATCAAAATACAACAACATAAGTACTCCTTAAGATAACTTCAATGATACAAACAGTCATGTAGTTACATATATATATATACTTTGATTTAGCTTATCGTGTTTGTAGACTTGGTCGTATCAACCATTTATTTTCTAACACAAATTTTTACATGTGGCTGGCCACACCGTGTGGCCAGGGTTACTTATAAGGGTTACTTATTCAGGAGGTTACTTATAAGTAACCTTTGAATAAGTAACCCCTATAAGTTACACCCTGACCGACTAAGTAATCCCTATAAGTAATCCCTGACCAACTGAGTAACCCCTAACCGACTAAGTAACCCTTGAATAATTAAGTAACCTCTGAATAAGTAACTGTTATAAGTAACTCTTGATCAACTGAGTAATACCTAAATAAATAATCCCTGACCGACTTAGTAACCCATGAATAAGTAACTCCGGGCACACGGTGTGGCCAGAGAAGCACCGATTTCCTAACGATTTTCGTGTGTCACGAGTCATACGACATCATAACCCATTTATGCATGCCTTACAAAGATGTTGGTTTGGGCATTATTTCAAACAAGTACATACCTCTTTAAATAGCTACATAAATTACCAATAAATAGATTGGTGCTTAAGACTATTGTTATGGAAAACTCATTTCTCCACCACAGCAGTATCAGGAGGAGTACGTGATTCTAGAAGAAAGATCACTAAGGTGGAAGTGCTCTTAGAATACATTAGACCTCTTTGCATCTCAAGTGTATGTTCAATGTTCATTTTACATCAACAGCAGCATGAATCAATCAGTGAAAATCGAGCAATTATTCGTACAACAATATAATGCTTCAGACACCAACTTAAACTCATATTCCGATGTTATATGATCAGTGGCTCTATGCAAGTGCTGCTGTTTCTCTACACTATATGGTGCGTCATTACAGGAGTACTTATATGCAAGTGCTGCTGTTTCTTTGGGTTGATATAACCATGAATTTATGGGAAGTTTAACATTGCCTTAAGAAGAGAATGATCATATATTTTCTTTTTACTTAACATAATTGATGATGATAGGTTGTAAATGAAATGAAACAATGATTATGTGCTAACTCAATGATGACTAGTTGTCTAGATCAATATTTTTGTAACGAGTACTTTTTATTACGGAGTAATAATCACAAACACAAGTATGATTATGATAGAGTATAAAATATATTCGTGGGTTTCAACCATCAGCTTAAGCTTTTGGTTGAGATAGTTGATGGTAAGTCATTTGCATTCCAAGTGAATTTTGATAGATATATTTTTTATATGAAGAGAAAGTCATTTGATTGAAGGCTTTCGTATTGAGAAGCTGTCATGTGATGTGTTAACATATTAACGAAATAAATAGATGGTAAGCCACGTGTCACTCCGGCCCGCCCTCTCACACACCTAATTAGAAATATGAATGGTATACCATACACTACATCAATTAAAAATGTTTATGTCAAGAATTGAACTTGTGGTCCATTGGGAAATGAATAAGAAGTCATACCATCTTCGCTATCTAAAAATTTTGTTATTTATTCTTCTTAAATTTAGTTAATGTAGACCATGAGAGTGTTTTTCTTAGTATTTTAACATGACAAATTATTTTCTTAGACTAAATCTAAAATAAAAGTATTTAAGATTATATTATTATGTACATAAACAAAAAAAAATGTAAAAGTCAAATTCATCTGCATCAAATTTAATACATGAAAACTATAATACAATATTATTTAAAGAATCGACTTCGGTATCGCCCGGGTTAAACACTAATTAATTAAATAAATAGATGTTATTGAGTGACAAATGTACGAAACTGGAAATGGTTTATTATAGGCCATAAAATTAATGGATAAGATGAGAATTTGAGTATATGACCCTGTTCGATTAGTTTTTATTAGTAGTTAGAAATAAAATGGGTGGTAATTAGTTTTATTTAGTAAAAATTTGTTTTATTAAAGTATAACTACTTAACAAAAAAATTGATTTCAATTCGGAGAAATTCAGGTTGCTTGAACAAGACCTGTATATACAAGTGCAGATCGAGTTCTACATAAAATATGAAGGCTTCATTTCTTACCATGATCTCTTACATAAACATCCCTTTATATTAGATGATATTCGTACATGAATATAAACCTTTTGAAACCGTTTAAAACCTAATAATTAGGTTTCTAATTAACTTTTAGTAAACATGACTTGATCTTTACCCTTAATCATGTGAAATGACTGTTAATCACTTAATTACAAAAATTATCATTTCAAAAGCTTATATATTCTCAAATAGCTCCAACTTTCAATTTTGATGAAAAAAGTTAATCCACCATCAAACACTTTTGTACCTTGTTAAGCTTGCATTGCAAAGTCTCTACACATCAGGCATCAATCAGACAATCACCTTTTGTGCCCCCTTATAAAAAAAAGAAAAAAAAAAAAAGGTTGGTAAATCTTTTAGGAGGATAATTATACCCAAAATCTGGATTTAAATCATCCATGTATTGATTGATGGATATGCAATATGCCTCCACATGCGTCCAACAATAACAACAAAATATTACTTGCTCATACATAGTGGCAGATTCCAGTCAAAATAAGTCAATAAATAATGGAGATTGCTCCATATTGAAAAAACGGTGTTTTTCTCTTTTAAAAAAAATTAATTGGGTTGACCTTGTGTAAAATTGTTGTCAACATGATGTGAAATTAAAGCTCAACAATGCTTAATCAGTTAATCTATTTACTTTGTTTTTAATTAGTAAGGTCTTGAATTGGCCTATTGCCTATTGGTTAATATTTGGGGTATATATACATTAGGTTGCAAGTTTAAATTTCATATCCTTAGTTTATTTGTAATTTGTATTGTCCTTATGGATCATTTAAATTTAACTATACTTTATTTAGCCTATAACAAAATTTAATAGAACA